AAATTATTGACTTTTTCATTCCAGTATACAGTACATAGAAATTCTCCTAAAACACGAGTACGAAAACTCTTTTTTGGGCTCGTCTCAGTATTTAATAAACGATCAAATAGCTCCACATCAATCTAATTGCCCTATCAATTCCCGTTGGTCAGCCTTTCCTAATATTATACCTTAAACGAAACTTCCTTCACAATCCCTGAGGAAAGGTGTAGTTCAGCTTATTTCACAGTATTATAGAACTGCTCTCCTCAGTAACTGTGGATGATAGCTCAACAAATATCCTTTTTACAAAATAATATCAAGATCAGTAATGCAACTATCAGTCTCTCCCCTCACGCCAGGGTACTAGGTGTAATCCTGGACTCTGACCTGTCTTTTCGGTCCCTAATCTAATCGGTGTTGAAAGCTTGCAGACTTCACCTCAGTAACATCTCTAAAATTGGCCCCTTTTTAACTAAGGAAACCACCAAGCTACCCATTCACTCGCTTGATATCTCTCAGCATTACTATTGCAACTCCCTTCTCATTGGCCTACCTGACCATGGACTATCCACTCTTCAGTCTATCATGAATGCTGCTGCCAGACTCGTCTACCTTACCAACCACTTTGTCTACCACCACTCGCTGCCAATCCCTCCACTGGCTTCCGATTGTCCAGCGAATTAAATTCAAATACTATTAACAACATACAAAGCCTGCTTCACCAGTCTTGTCTCCAGATATCACCCAAGCCATCCTCTCTGCTCCTCCCAAGACCTCCTGCTCTCTAGCTGTCTTGTCTCTTACTCCCATGCTCACCTCAAGGACTTCTCCAGAGCCTTTCCCATCCTCTGGAACTCTTCCTCAATCTGTCTTGTCTCCTGCTCTGGCCACCTTTAGGCGACCCCTGGAAACTCATCTCTTCAAGAAAACCGATCACCCCTCACACAACTGAACTTTTAACTCTTCCATCAGCTTGTCCCCCACAGTTATTACATTTTGTACCTCTTGCCCCAACCTATTAGATTGTAAGCTGTTGTGAGCAGGGCCCTCTTAACCCTCTTGTAGTTTGTTTTTTAATTGTACTGTCTCCTTAGATTGTAAAGCGCTGCGCAAACAGTTGGTGCTGTGTAAATCCTGTATATTAACCACTTCCAGTCCAGACACTTTTACTCCCTTCCTGTCCAGGCCAATTTTCAGCTTTCAGTGCTATCACACTTTGAATGACAATTACGCGGTCATGCAACACTGTAACCATATGAATGTTTTAGCATTTTTTTTAGACCGATAAAGCTTTATTTTGGTGGTATTTATTCACCGCTGGGATTTTTATTTTTTTTTGCTATGTAAATTAAAAAGTCCAAAAATTTTGAAAAGTGTTTTTCTTATAAAATTTTGCGAACAAATAGTATTTCATCATAAATCTTAGCCAAAATTTATTCCGTTATATTTTTAGTAAAAAAAACAATAACCTAAATTAGTTTATAACCAAAAATTATAATTTTTAAACATTTTTATTTTTAATTTTGTTTTTAATATTTTTTATTTTTTTTTTTTACATAGTGTCACCCTAGCAGTACAGTGTCAGTACTTGTGGGAGGTGATGATTTGTTTTTTGTTTTTTTATACTGATTGCTTTTACACCCAGAAAGGCTGTAAAGGCAATCATTTCTCCTTCTCTCTAGCTGCATTCTTGCAGCCATTGAGAACTACTGAGTGAGCTGTGATTGGTCACAGCTTGTCACATGGTACAAGGCTGTTGTGAATAGCCTTTTACCATGTGACCTCTGTGATCAATCGCAGATTTCACACGTAGTAAGCAATGATGTCAGAAGTGACAGCTTGCTTACTACTCTACATGTGATCACTGATTGGCCAATCAGTGATCACATGATCGGGACCTCGTACAGAGGTCCCGTCCGATGATCGGTGTTCCACTGTGTCCGGAGGACACAGCGGGCACCGGATCGCGGTGCTGCGTGCTCCCAGGGAGCGCGCACAAGCAGGGTGCTGGGAGGCTGTTTATTAAACGGCCACCCGACCCTGCACTGCCACCATCCAGCCTTTTATATACAATGGCCGGACGGGAGGTGGTTAATAGTTTGACATCATTTTTTAATAAATATACTTGTATACATGACTGGCACAGTGCCATGAGCCCACCCTACACACCCTAGAGAGCCAGAAAGAATACTGCAAAGAGGCACCTTCAGATCTAGAAAAACAATATTTTCAAGTAGGCATTGAAGTCTCAAGAGATTTTGTCCCATCATAGAGGTGCATTTATGTACACCAATATAGTATATCAATGGCTTTCATATTGAAGGAGACTCTCATTAACAGATTAACTGGTTTAATGGCTGAATCCTATTATCTGTAGGTTGCACTATGGGGAATAAACCACCATCTCATCTTAGAGGTGATAGGGCAATAGGCAGGTGTAAAGGAATGTGTTCAATTGCTGAATATTTAGGCAACCACAAACATTTTTATACTCTTGTTTTATGAATCTCTACATGTATAATAAATGGAGAATTCAATGATTTTAAAATGGTTTTTTGTGCATCTCATTGAGGGTAGCACCTGAAAAGTCCTAGTGTATGTGGCCTTTCAATAGTGGATGAAACAAACCTATTATGATTTAACATATTTTTTTTTTTAAGCTCCTTGTCTGCAACAGCCAAGTGATACCTAGGACAACCAGTATTTTTTTTTACAGAAAAGGAAGCAGAACTGTTTTGTACACCTTTTAAAACACTAGTATTTTGCCGTGACACATTTTGCATGCCACTGCCTCCCCTTCTCAGAAACTTAAGCCCAAGGATTTTTTTTTTTTTTTAAATTTCCCAGGATTCATCAGGTAATCATACCTTTCATCCTGAGAACACCTCAGGGAACCTGTTGTTCTGACCTGCAAGTATACAATTAAAAACTTAAAGGAAACCTTAATTAAGGAAAGGCAGACCTCTTTAGGTTTTTTCAAGTGTACTTTTACAGCCAAGCTACTTTATATTTGCTGCATGTCCCCAATCACTTAGGATAATAGCTGTTCTCTCAAGCTTCTTCTATGTGCCTGATCTCCAAGTGTCCCCCAAGTGTGTCTGTCAGGTCTTCCCCCATCACACGATAAGAATATTGGATGTTTGATTTTTTTTTTTTTTTTTTTTTTGGATGCACGCCTGTGACCCTTTTGCCATAGATTCACTATATTTTTTATACTGTACACATGGTGTGTGTAACTAAACAACTAAGGTGAACAGGTGAAAATAAAGTTGGATAATTTTTTAATTTTTTTTTTTTTTTTTTTGCAATATGAGCCCCGTACACATGATGAGATTATTGCACAAATGATCTTTTTTTTTTTTTTTTTTTTACACGCTAATCTCATATCAAAAATAAAGTTACGAAAATTCTTGTACAATAGAATACAACCTCGGTAGTCATGTAATGTATTGTGATCTATTCTTTCCTTTCCAAGCATGCGTGGTGTTGGTCTAATTTTTTATAGATGAATACTGTACTGATTAAGCGAAAATCGTTCATTCTGGTATCATACAAGAAATATTTTCGTGCTTATCCCTTCAGATAATTTTGCATGGACTGTCGTGATCATCTCTCGAAAGCTGTGTACTAACAAATAGATTATCGTACAATCACGCCAAAAGCAATGGGTTTTTTTTTTTTTTTTTTTTTTTTTCGATTTTCTCATCGTGTGTAGTAGGCTTAAGTGTTATCTTCTGAAATTACACCTACTCAGACACTCCAAAACAGAGAATGAGGGGTGCAAAACCATTCAGCGGCATCCAGTCTCAGACATCTGTCCCTAACTTCAGCTATCCACTCAAGTTATATAAGAACAGCAGTGGCTGCTGTCATTCTGCCATTAGTTTAAATCGGCTAAGCGGCCACTGCTGATCACATGACCAGGTCATGCTAGCAAAGTAACAGGTATGTATTTTTGCATTGTGAGGTAATAGGATGTAGGTTGTCTTGGCAGATTTCAGTTGACCTTAGCAATCACTGGTATTTACAGAGTACAGTACATTTTTAGGGAAAAATATTCATAAGAATGCTTTTCTGGAAGGTATAAATTAACTGTGTTCTAGTGTTTCCCTGTATGATAGCATATAGTATTGTAAGCACTGAAAGCGGAACACATTGAAAGTGCAAATTTTAATGCACAATGTATTGGGTTTTTTTTTCTTGCTGCATTAGCAAGGCAATTTACAATATAAAAAATAAATAGTTACTTTTCTTGTTGAATTCAAGGTAAACCTAGAGTGTTCTCTTTGAATGTTGACCTCAGTACAGCTGTTTGCAGCTATACAGCTGAGTCTACTTGTATTATTGTGATTCACTAAGGGTGCTGCTTCCAACAGCATTTTGCTTGCCCTGTTTTAGTTTACATCTTCTGTTTGGAAGCATTGTTTCCATTCCCAGATATTTTGGTGATGCCATCAGTTGGTAATGCAATTTTAAATTGACATTAAAGGATTAAAAAAAAACATGTCAAACTTGTGTGCTCTATGCAGTGGTTTGCAGAGAGCAGCCCTGATTCTCCTGTTCTCAGGTCCCCTGCCTCCTGCCAAGTGCCCCCAGAGCAAGCGGCTTGCTATGGGGGCACCTAAGCGCCCCTTTCTCTCTCCTAATTGGCTCACTAGCTGTGATTGACAGCAGTGGAAGCCAATGAGGATGGAGAGTCCATGGAAAGGTAAGGCTCTCGTGCACATCACTAGATCGCGATGGTGCTCAGGTAAGTTTTGTTTTTTTTTTTTTTTTTTTTTTGGGGGGGGGGGGGGGGGGGGTGCTGCACACACGTTTTTTACCACCGTCATGCATAGAATGCATGATGGTAAAAAAAACCTTGAGCCTTTACAACCGCTTTATGTAACACCATCTCTGTACCTGAAGATAATTTCCTTTGTTTATATGTTTTTGTATGTGATTGTGATGTGAAAACTACCAGGATTTGATTTACAGCACATACATCATTGTGTAACACAATATGTTCATTTCCTCAGGCCTACCCTGACAGTGGCAGAAAAGGAGAAAGAAGACCTGAGGGACTCCAAGCCACGTTCATTGCGCTTCACATGGAGTATGAAAACCACCAGCTCAATGGAACCCAATGAGATGATGAGTGAAATACGCAAAGTGCTGGATGCCAACAACTGCCAACATGAACTACAAGAGAAGTACATGCTGCTTTGTATCCATGGTTCACCCGGGCATGACAACTATGTACAGTGGGAAATGGAGGTGTGCAAGCTTCCACGCCTCTCTCTAAACGGTGTGCGCTTCAAAAGAATCTCTGGCACTTCTATGGCATTTAAGAACATTGCCTCCAAAATTGCCAATGAACTCAAACTTTAACCAGGCTCCAGCTCTCAGACTGAAACTGCAAAACGAGACACCTACAGCCCCCTGCCATAGCTGGTCAGCACTCTTAGCCAAGTGGATGCAGGAAGTTCCATTTGTTTCTCCTTGCTGGCCTGTCCTGGAAGGACAAATCAGGCTTTGTGGTTGGGGGTTGGCAGGGTGCCCTGGGAATGACTACTGCTCCTTTTCATTGTAGGTTTTGAGGGTATTTTATTTGAAATAGGTTTATAATTTTTTTTTTATTTTAAAGATTGGGGATTGGGCTCAGATTATCTAATAGACTGATAAGAGGAAGGGTTGTAGAATGAGATTGTAGAGTGGTTTCCCTTCCTATTAATGTGTGTCAGCTCTATGATGCAGTTTTTCTGGTACAGTTTATAAAGCAGAAAAAGAGCTTGGAAAGGGTATATCCCTTTTTGTCTACAGATGAGTTCACATTGTACAGAAGGATTATAAAAATGTACAATGTCTTTGTACAGAAGAGATTTAAAAATCGTCATGACACTGAACTAATAGCTCAGGGTGCCCTTTAATACACAGGTACAGGTAAAGACATGCCCAGCATGGAGAAATATTGTGCAGGCAACTAGATTTGTATGGTGGAAACCCAGTGGGCTACCAATACATTTATTTACATGCTGTTTTTCCATTATTTATTTTCTTTGAAAGTTGGCAATAATCAGTTGAAACAGTTCATTTGGTGTTAGTTACATCATCAGTGGTACAAAGATGTGAACAACTGTTTAATTCTCCAAGCACACTTTGAGTTTCCTTTTATTTTCATTGGACCAGTCCAGAACCTCCTCCATGTTTCTCTCTACATATTAACAAATAGTAAATTGTTAATGTGACTTGCACATATTCCTCATAAGGAGGAGCATCCAGGAGCCCACTATGATTTCCATCTACAAGTTCTGTGTTCACACTTTTTCTCCTTATTAAAAAGCATGAATACACACCACCATGACTATGTCACTGTATACAGAATGCACCCCTTTATTCTAGACACTTCTATGAAGATCAGAAATACTAGACATTGTTTGCCACACTCTCCATGTATATAATCTACATGTTTGCAGGTTTAAATCCGGGAAATTTATCAATTAAATTATAGGAGTATTGAAAGTGAAAGAGTGGAGGCAACTTTGTTGAGGAAATGTTTGTGGAATGTACAGTGAATACAGCATATCAGACTTTATCTACCCCTCAGTTGCGGTTGTGGGCTGTATCTGCTGTAAATATCAATCCAAAAAAATGTGTATGACTCCCACTTGCAGTTGAGGGGTGAAGCAAGTTTCCATGGCCCGACAGATGATCGCTTGCAAGCGTTATTGTTTATTTGATTTTATTATTTTCCTTTGTGTGAATGATTTCATTGCTGTTTGGAGAAAAAAAAAGAAACTAATTGCGGTTGACACTGACTGTTTTATTTTTCTAAAAAAAAAAAAAAAAGTTTGTTCTGTATGTCATGGGTACATTTAATATATCCTAGAATACTCAGGAACAATGATTACAAAAAAAAAACAACTGAAGAGTGATTATAGATTGAGTTAAGCAAACCAACATCTTACTCAGATCATGGCAATCTTCAGAATTTAGACTACAAATTTTGCAAGTTTATGCCAACTTTATCTGTAACTTTCCCATGCTCTTCCATGCTGCTGTGCATGAGTTCCCATCCTATGCTGTGCCTTCTTATCCTTTTATAAAGCTGGTTACAAGGGGTGACCCAACTCTGATATAAAACATGGTAGAAGAACTGGAACGTCTCATCAGTGGGTTCTTGTGTTCTAATTGGACAGAAGAATGACTCTCAGCTAGTAAACACCTGAGCTGTGGCAATAACTTAATTCTCCCCTTTTGACAACGTTATTGATAGTGTAATGCAACACATCACAAACCAACAAGCACTTATTCTGGATGAGCTTCAGGTTACACTTACACAACTGCGTTGTGGTAATCTGCAGGTATATGTGCATTGTCATTTATTCTGAAGATTACCACAAGCCCAAATACATTTAAGAAAAAAAAAAAAAAAAAGCACTTGTTCTATAACGCACTACAACACACATATGTGAAGACTGTAGGGGTTGTGACATGCCTGACCTATTGGAGACCATTTAAAATCGATGCAACTAAATGCATACAAAGAGGTAATTGGATTCCACACATTTCTTAGGCTACACTGACAACAGCAATCAAGATCGTTGTGAATTGTAGTGGCAGGAATCCCCTGATTTCTGCTGTGACTAGGTGCAGCCGCTGGCTCCATTCAGTATAATGACAGGTTGCTGGTGGTCGCAGGTATTTATAGCTGTCCACACAGCTAGCGATTACTTACCTCAGGTAATCGCTAGCTGTGCAGAGAGCCGTGAATAGCTGTGGCTGCTGGTGACCTGTCATTATAGTGACCTGGACCAGCAGCTGCACCTAGTTGTAGCAGAAATCAGGGGATTCCTGCCGATACAATTTGAAATGACCTTGATCACCACACTGATTTGTAGTCTTATGACTCTTGGGTGTAGTGTCAAAACATTGTTTTTTTTTTGGGGGGGGGGGGGGGGGGGGGGGTTGTTTTTACTTAAGTATCCTCAAAAAATCTCAGTTTTGGATTAGCTCTCAAATAAGTTGAGTCCTTCATGAAGAAATTCTCAACATTTATTTTGAAATTTTTTGGCCCTATATAAAATGTGTGTATACACACTTTATACTTAAAGGAGAAGTATAGCCAAAGCTATTGTAGTTATACTCCTCCTGGGAATTACAAGAGTGCTATTCATTCTGCACTCCTGTCACCCTGCTGTCTGCTGATGTCACTCAGCTGGTCCAGGCTTGAGAGAGATCCCATCTTCATAGTAGGAATCTACCCAGAAGCCTGGCCTGGCACCTGGCTCAGCCCCTCAGTAAGCCACTGAGAGCCTGAGCCAGCCGCTCCTGCCCCACCACAGCCCAGCTAGTCACCGCTCTTTGCTCAGAGCGTAGGGGGAGAACTGAGTGCTCAGTGGCGTTTGATAACTCAGTTCTCAGTGCAGAGCTGGCAGGGGACCATTGCAGTATCGAATCGATGCAGTATCAACCTAGGTAAGTATAGATTTTTTTTTTTCTCTCAAAAAGCCATACTTCTTTTAACAGAAGGAAATTGTGGATTTCCAAATATGTTTTTTTTAAAAATAAATAAATAAAAGGTTCACTTTCCAGTCTGGGCAATTTAACTAAGCATTCATTCATCTAAAAAAAATGTGTAAGCATTTAGTGGAAATTGCATGGCAAAACAACTGGGTTAACATGGAAACCTCCCACTTTCTGTTAAAATTTGCTACTTCCTAAATCCTAAGCCTCCCTATTGGTCAAGCAGGCAATTACAGGGTCCTTCCAAACTTCCTTTTGAGGTGTTTTGCTCTGTAGGCAACATCTGTTTATCCATTTTTTTTTTTTTAATCTATTTTGTGCTATGGCTAAATTGCACAGGTTTGTATAAGGTTCAAGGTAACACACACACAAAACAGCTGTATTTTTATTGGCAGATAGTTTCAATCAGGGGTCCTCAAACTTTTTAAAAATGTATTCTCTTTGGGGATAGACTGTGGCCAGTAGCAGTAGAAAATGCCTGTGTTGGTGGCTGATGGATGGATGGAGGAATAATGCACCAGTGTCAGTGAGAGAAATAGTATCTTGTTGGTGGAAGGCATGGGACCATCTCATCTGTGGCAGCAGAAAGAATGATGGTGCACTACCAGGGTCGGAGAAGGTCCTCCATGCAGGGCTTGATAAATAACAAGCAGGGACTTGTAGTTTGAGGACCACTGATTTAAATATTCAAAGTTTGTGATGGAAAAATTTTGCAAACCCTAACAATTAGCAACTGGTACAACTTCCTTCATTACCTCTAGTGCATTTTTTTAAAATTTTACATCTCTGTATACTAAACTATTTCAATACATCTGTGTTTTTTTGCGATGTCTTGTTTGCCTGTGTCATACCACAGTATTTCAATAGAATTTAGGCCAGCACTCTGTAAATGTATTACTATGGCCTGAAGCTCACAGTATGTGTGCATATGTAAAATATAAAAACACACCATGCACGGTTTTCACTGTTGTTTGTACCAGACTGAGTGCATTGGTCAACACAGGGACAAGCCAAAAAAAAAAAAAAAACACTTGTTTTGTATTATCACGGTTTATACCAATGTGCTGCAAAAAAATGAGGCAAAAAGTAATGTAAGTTAATAAAAAAAAAAAAAAGTGCACTGTATGTAGACAACACACCAAAGCACACACAAAAATGGACAAAAGCATACACATATCTGCTGATGTGTGAACTTACCCTTAATGTTGGAAAAAGATACTTATCCATTGAGTTCATTCATGCTTATAAAGAAAAGAGAAAAAAAAAAAATGCAACCTGCTTTCAGATCTTCTATTTGATCCAAAAAAAGGAAAAACTGAGTGTGTATGTGTATATATACAATTTATATATAAAAGAGAGTGCTTTGCCCACAAATAAACATATGGTGTTGCAACAGGGCTGACCCAAAACTTCTTGAAGTATGTTTTGGACTTGCACAAGACCTTCGTCATACAAGAAATGTGTGTGAAAGTAACAAACTTTGTAATGTATAGCAACAGAAACGACGTGAACAGCACATAATCGGCTCACTGAAACCAGCGTATTACAGAATTTGTACAGCCACTATTTCCATCAAACAGAAGACTCTGTACCATTCATAGTCATCTAAGTGACCAGACTACAGCTTTGTAAGATCTGACTTTACATTTTTAGAATTGTAGATAGTTTGCCTGCCTGAAATGTATACAATGTGTGCATATCAGGCAGATACTGTATATACAGTGTATATATATATATATTGGCAAGAAAAAGTATGTAAACCCCTTGGAATTAACTGGTTTTCTGTAGTAATTTGCCATAAGATGTGAACTGATCCTCATCTAAGTCACAGCAATAGACAAACACAATGGGGTAGATGAACTGAA